GAGCCGGTTAGAGGTACGCCGAGTGGAGGGGGATGAAGTGTCCGGAGGGAGGCCTGGGAATGTGGGCTGGGGCCCGGATGCCGGGGTCACCTGGCAGGAGCGGGCGGGGCGGAGGGGCGGACCCGAGTGTGCAGGCGTGTGTCCTGTGCCCGGTCGGGGCGAGTGAGATGGATGGCGGCGGAGTCGGTGGGCGCTGAAGCCTTGCAAGGGAGCAGAGTTGATGTGTCAGGGGCGCCCGGACGGAGTGAGGGGCCTGAAAGTACGGCACATGGGGAATTTAGCGGACTCGATTGAATGAGGGCCGGTGGAGGGACGCGGGAGCGGATGCCGGGCTGGATGGGGACCGGCCGTGGGCAGGACACTCGGCCATTCTCCTTTGATCCAGACGATGCCGCGGTGGAGACGGCGGAGGAGGCCAAGGAGCCCGCGGAGGCTGACATCACTGAGCTCTGCCGGGACATGTTCTCCAAGATGGCAACTTACCTGACTGGGGAACTGACGGGTGAGGCGTGGCACTCCTCGCCGGAGCTGCGGTTCATCGTGGGGGCGGGGGGGACGGACACCTGGGAGGTGCTTCCGCAGCCTCGGTCTGCGCCCCCCTCTCCCGAACCCCGCCTGCCCAGAAACATGCCTGTTGGAAGTTTGGCGCCGTCATGAGTGGGAAGGAAAGAGGTTCATTCCTTCCCTGGAGAAATTCACGAACTGCCTTCAAAAACACATAAGAAGCCCGGCCGGTGTGGCTCAGTGGATAGAGCGTTGGCCTGTGCACTGAAGGGTCCCAGGTTCGATTCCCGGTCAGGGGGTCTGGGCACGTGCCCAGGTTGCAGGCTCGATCCCCAGTAGGGGGCGTGCAGGAGGCAGCTGGTCCATGATTCTCTCTCATCATGGATGTGTCTTTCTCCCTCTCCATACCTCTCTGAAGTGAATAAAAATATATATTTAAAACACACACACACACACACACACACATAAGAATACTTAATACAACTCTACAGGCCTCCGTATTGCAGACTAACGCTGAGAAAACAAAAAAGAATCAAGAAGTGCCTCCTTGGCGGAAGGGCATTTTGAGCAGGTTGTGAAGGGAATGATTGGCCCAAAAGGAGGGAAACAACTAGTAGTGCGTGCGTGCGGGAGTGTAGTGGTCTAAGTGAGAAGTGTGTTTGGCCAAAACAGTTGTATTTATTGGGGCAAAGAGAAAAGGGATTGGGGAATGGGGAATGACCTGCAGATTTAGGGACCTGTTAGGTTGGTCAGAGGATTTGGTGACACCCCTTGGGTGATTAAGGTTTTGGTTCCTGGTGTATTTCCAGATGAACACATGATCTATGTGCTGAGGAGGGTCCAAAAGGTGAAATCTGGTCCAGTGTGACGGAGTGATTGTAAAAGGAATGGAAAGGAAGGCATGGGTGCAAGAACATTATAGAAGTGGGATTTGTAGAACTTGTTTTTTTTTATATATTTATTGTTTTATTGCTTAAAGTATTACAAAGGGTATTACATATGTCTCCTTTTTTCCCCCCGCCCTTGACAATCCCCTGTGTAGAACTTGTTAAGGTGGGTATTGAGGGATTGGGAGCAGCCCAAGATTGTAGAACTTAAGGTGGGTATTGAGGGATTGGGAGCAGCCCAAGATGGATGTACACTTAGTATTTGAGCTATTAAGCCTGGGTGGTACCATCAACCAAAATAGGGAAGTTGGAAAGAGGAACTATGCTTAATGTGAAAATAATATTTTCAGTTTTGGCTTGGCTGATTTTAGATATTACCAGGACACTCAGTTGACTACTATTAAGACACTCAGGTGACTTGAACACATGAGTCCAGATCTCAAAGAGTGGTCAGAGCAGGAGAAACAGATTTTACTATGGGGGGGCACCTGCATAGTGCTGTGAGCTGAAGCTGTGCAGGATGAGATTGGCAAGGAAGAGCTTAGAGGTAGATCAGAGCACCTTGACTAAAATCTCAGGGAATGCCGGCATAGAGCAATTAATTTGCTTTTAATAACAGTATTTTAAATACCTAGTTTTCAGATGATTGATTAAATTTTTTTAAATTTAAAATATATCTTTATTGATTTCAGAGAGGAAGGGAGAGGGAGAGAGAGATAGAAGCATGATGAGAGAGGGAATCCTTGATCGGCCGCCCCCTGCACGCCCCCTACTGGGGATGGAGCCTGCAACCTTGGCATGTGCCCTTGGCCAGAATCAAACCTGGGACCCTTCAGTCAGCAGGCTGACGCTCTATCCACTGAGCAAAACCGGCTAGGGCTGATTGATTAATTTTAAGCAGATTGTAATTTCCCCCGATTGTCATTTTTACTTGCATAAATACTTTTTGAGTTTGAAAGGAAATACCATGGGAATGTGCCACCCGTGTAAACGTCAGTTATGCGTCACAGTTGAGAAAAGTTGAGAACTGACCGTTAATGAGGTTGGTTTAAAAAGGATCTGGCATAGAAACCTAAAAAGAACAGTTAGAAGGAGATTTAAAAATCATTGTAATACAGTATACAATTCTATAGCAGCCAAGGGAGGATTTCCTGAAGAGAGGGAGAGCATAGTTTCAGACACTATAGAGAGGTTCAGGAGAATTAGAACTATGGATTTCATGGTTAGGAGACTTTGGGGCATGTAATTTCTCAGGATGGTAGGGGCAGAGGCCAGACCGCAGGGGTTCACATGAGTGAATGGTGAGGATGAGGAAGCAGTGAGTGTAAACTATTCTTTCAAAAGAGTTAGCAGTGAAGCTCCTTTGCTTTCTTGAGCAAATGAGTGCTTTTGGGCTGGAGGAAACCTGGATATATTTCTAATAGAGAGGAAGATCCAAGGTGGAAAGAGTTTGGAAATGCAAGAGAAAGGAGATGATTGAAGAGAGGCCCTGAAGAGATAGAAGAGTTGGGGATCAAGAACACAGCAGGTGGAGTTGTCTTGGCAGGAATGAAGCACTTGTACCTCTTGGGAAGATATTAAGGTACAGAGAAATTTCTAAGTGAGGCAAAAAGGCGGAGGCAGCTTGAGAAAATTGGAGTAGAAGCCATGCGCTTTGAGTAGGGATGGGGCAAAGAGTTGAGAATATGAGAAGCAGGCAAATGGTTTGGAAAAGTCAGTGCATAAAATGCAGTGTAGAATCATCACATAGTAATAAGTGAGTTACTAAGAAGTGGTAAGGTCCTAGTTGACTATATATATAAATAATATTTATAGTGCAGTTCCCCAGTTTACATGTTTTCACACTGTAGAAATACCAAGTCTATTTCACTTCCCTTTTCTTAGGACATACGTTTATCATATCCCTTTCTAACCCAGATCCTGAAGTTTATGGATCTTATTTGGTTTAAATAATTTGCTGATTGTTGCCTGAGTTTCTACTTAGACATTTAGAGTACACAGGCTGAGTATAAATGTCATAGGTCAAAAGTGGCTTGCTCCTTTGACATTCCCTAGATCAGTGATGGCGAACCTATGACATGTTTTACTATGGTTGCAAATATCAAAAAATTTCTATATGTGACACGGCACCAGAGTTAAGTTAGGGTTTTTCAAAATGCTGACACGCCGAGCTCAAAAGGTTCGCCATCACTGCCCTAGATCCTGCCTTGAACTACCAGTTGGCCTCTAATTCCACATTCCAGTTATCCAAGACAAATATTAAAGGCATTATATCTTCTGTTTGTTTTAAAGCCACCAGCGAAGACTATAAGCTCCTGGAAAATATGAATAAATTAACCAGCCTGAAGTATCTTGAAATGAAAGATATTGCTATAAACATTAGTAGAAACCTAAAGGACTTAAACCAGAAGTGTAAGTAATAATTTTTATAATTACACATTTGTAATAAATGTTCTGTTATGCTTGGGGCCATGGAGAAGGAGATGGAACATGGCCTTGTACTCAGGGAGCTCATTTTCTAAGTGAATTACAAAGTTAAGGTGCATTTCTTCCATTCTGAGGAGCAGCATGTTTTGGTGGTATGGTTATTTCTGCTTCTGAATCTTGATTTGATCAGTTTATTCCTGAAAAGGGATGGGGAAAAGAAAGGGTGGCCAGATTCTGATTTAACAATGAAATCAGTGAATTGATTTAACAATGAAATCCATAAAGGATTACTCTTATGAACAGAAAACCAGAACATCTATCAATGGAAAATGCTCATTTAGACGGTAGACTATATTTTTCCCATTAGCTTATATTTGTGTTCCCTGTCTCTTTCCTGGTCTGGGAGTCCCCAAGATATGGAATCTGTAATGGAAAGATTGCTTGTAGAATAAGGAATTTCAGAGACAAAGTTAATGGATGAGAGAGACTTGTTTTGTGTAGGTCACAGTCATGCCTGATCAGCTAGCTACTGTCTTCTAAAGCGTTTGTCATCAGAATCATGTCATCCCACCCTGTGTGCCTTAGGCAGAGCTGGAGAGACATTAGCACTCTTACATTTTCACTCTTTTCTATTCCACTTGTTGAAGCCATAGAAACATGTGGCCTGTCTTTGTTTTCAAAGATGCTGAACTACAGCCTTATCTGGATCAAATCAATGTAATTGAGGAGCAAGTAGCAGCTCTTGAACAGGCAGCCTACAAATTGGATGCATATTCCAAAAAACTGGGTAACCATTTTTATTTCTGTTTTGCTTAATAAGAGTACCTGCCGTTATGACCTTAGCTAATATGATAGTTAATATTGACGAGGTGCTTACAATGATCTTTTTTTCTTTTTAATGCTCACCCGAGGATATGTTGAGAGGGAGGGAGGGAGGGAGAGAGAGAGGAAGAGGGAGACGGAGGGAGAGGGAGGGAGAGGGAGGGAGGGAGAGGAGAAAGAGAGAGAGACAGAGACAGAGACAGAGACATCGATATGAGAGAGAACATTGATCAGTTACCTCCCATAAGTGCCCTGACTGAGGATTGAACCTGCAACTGACATATGTGCTCTGATCGGGAATCAAACCTGTCACCTTTTGGTGCACAGGACAACTCTCCAACCAACTGAGCCATCTGGGCAGGGCTACAATGATTTATTTTAATCTTCACAAAAACCTAGTGAGAATAATTTCTTAGTAGTACTAGTAATTAACATTTTCTGGGTATTTGATATATCAGGCACTGTTCTTAGTGCTTTACATATATTATGTTTTTTATCCTCTCAATAACCTATGAGATAAGTACATGATTTTTATCCTTATTTTATAGAGGAGGAAACTGGTTGAAGAGGATAAATAGCTTATAAGGATACAAAGCTAGTATGTGGAAGAGCTGTATTCTAAACCAGGTCTGATTGATTACAAAGCTCAAGCTCTTAATTGTGGTTCAGCAGGCTAGAGCTAGAGCATCTTTAATAATGTAGATACATATGTCTTAATAAACAGGATAGTTATGCAAGGGTTTTCTTCAATAATTACTTTTTCTTTAAGGAGGAAACAGTACTTTTAGTGTTGATGGCTTACTAACTGTTTCTGGCTCTTATAACCATGACTAAATATAACAAAGTTGTTTTTATCCTAGATATAATTTACAGATTATTTTATTTTTATCAGAAACAATTGTTGACTACTTCGAGAGAGTAGTTTGTAGCAGACTGAGATTTGATGTGGGTGGTGATTCACAGTTTCATTGTCTAAAATTAAATTTTCTGAATGGTGACCTTGAACCTAACTATATAGGCGGCATTGTACTAAGGTGCTTTTAAAGTTTTAAAGACAAAGGGAATCCACTCCATTAAAAAGCCTATTTGATGGTCTTTTAAATCTTTGTATCTTTCAAAATTGCTTTCTGGGGATAAGACAATAAAAGGTAAAACATACATTTATACTTCCTGAGAGTTCCAGTCTGGCTCCCAGAGGGTGCCTGGCACAGTGCCTGGAGAGGCAATTTCCTACGCTCCTAGTGGCTCAAGTGCCCGTAGATCTGCTTACTCCCTGTGGAGTCATCTGAGCAGGTGCTGTTGACAGGTTTAGAACATAGTGAACTTGTGTCGGGTTCTTTATTCTGTGTGTGTGTGTTTGACTTCTTACCTTAAGCTGTGCCTATCAATAAAATTTAGATAGATATTCAAATATCTGTCTTTAGCTAATATGGTAGTTAACATTTATGGTGTGCCTACAATTTGGACAGCTGATGAGATTGGGGCTAATCAATTTTTTTTAATGTAATAAACATTTTTTAACTTGCTAGGAAATACTAATGAAGAAGTATCTTTGTAAGAGCCAGTTTTAAATATAACTCTCACCCTTGCAGAAGCCAAGTACAAGAAGCTGGAGAAGCGATGAAAAACTTATTCCTGTGGAACAAAGTCTTTTTTTAATGTGGAAGAATGAGACCTGAATCCTGAGGCTGATGAATTGTCACAACTCCTCAAAAGGAAACCATGCTGGCCGTCCCAGAAACATCCCGCCATTGGAGTAAACTGGAGAACTGTGGCTACTCCTGAATTCCTCTTGGGGCAGTATCCCTCAGAAACGCACACTTATTACCCCCTACCTTTTACTTGAATGTTTAATTATCCATTTAGGACACTAAGTCTCTCAAAGTTCAGGATAAACCTGGGCTTTTCAGTCGAATCAAATGAGAGGGCTTATTTTCTAAGTGGCTGGATTTTGAGTTACTGTGTAAATGGTTGTTTTTTTCTATTGAGCTAATGTATTGCTAACCAGAATCTAAATTAAAAAAGGAAAATAAAACAAACTTCTTCACAGTTTCTCATCTTGTGTCAGTAATTTACTTTTCTGTAAAAGTACATAATAATAAATAAAAAAAATCTTAAAATAATTTCAGGCCGAGTCTTTTAGACTGAGCAGAAACAGTGAAAGGAGTGTTGTGATAGTTTGGTGTATATGATGGGCCCTCCTGTCTCTTCTTTGTGTGAATTGGATGTCTCAGGATGGATGACATCTTGACATGTATTCCCCCTTTGGAAATGTGATAAAGACAAGGACAGAATGTGTATGTGTATGTATGTATGAGGTGGGGGTGGGCAGGTGGGGCTGCCACTCATAAAAAAAAGCATTTTATAAAATACGTTCCTACTTTCGTTTGCAGGATGAGGGGGGCTCCTGGGGACCTGATCATCTTCCTCCCAGACTAAGGACATCAGTAGGTGGAAAATACCGACTGACTGGTGTAGTTTAGAAGACAGGCAATCTTATCCATAGTTGGGTGTTACTAGGAAGGTGGGTGAGGTCCTCAATTCCATCTCCAAAAACAGTTCTTAACTTTGTTTCCATCATTTCCCACTATCTGTGTTCCAGACCACCACTGTTTATACTCTGCTCCTCTGGACTATTTCTTTTATTCTGCTCTAATCTTAATTATTCCCTGTCTTCTAACTTCAGGCTTAGTTTACTCTTTTTCTAGTTCCTTGAGGTGTAATGTTAGGTTGTTTATTTGAGATAGTGTCTCTTAATAAAGACATCTATAGCTATAAACTTTCCTCTTAGAACTGCTTTTGCTACATCCATACGTTTTGGTATGTTGTGTTTCCATTTTCATTTGTCTCAAGATATTCTTTTATATTCCTTTTGATTTCTTTTTTGGTCCATTGGTTGTTTAGGAATGTGTTGCTTAATTTCCACATATTCATCAATTTTCTAGCTTTCCTCCTGTTACTGAATTCTAGTTTCACATCTTTGTGGTTGGAAAGATACTTGATATAATTTCTGTCTTCTTGAATTTGTTGAAACTTGTTTTGTGCCCTAACCTATTCTGGAGAATGTTCCAAGTGCACTTGGGAAGAATATGTATTCTAAAGCCAAACTTGGCATGCATACAAGGCTCCTCCTGTTTTTTTTTTTTCCTTTTTTTAAATTTCATTTTTTGTTACACTTACATTGTGTTTAACTATCTTGATCCACCTTCATTCCCACGGATGAGTTTTCTTTTCATAAACTTTCTACTTTAGAATAGTTTTAGATTTGCAAAAAAGTTTCAAAGATAATGCAGAATTCCATGGATGAGTTTTCATTTCTTACTGTTGTTTCCTTTCTGAAATTATTATCCGTCCATGTTTGGCAAACTTCTACTTTTCTTCAAAATTCAGTCGATCTCCATTCCTGGGCCGTGCTGCATTACCCCAAAGTGGAAAAACACATGTTTAGTTTGCCAGCGAAGCTGGGGCATCAATATTTATGAGGCAGGGAACTTGATATTGCCCCAAAAAGCATTGCAGAAGTTGCGAGGAAAACCAGAACTTTGTTCTTCCTTAAACTTACTTTATGTTTTAGTTAATTTTGAATTGTTTGGCTGCCCTTGATGACTTTTTCATGTCCTTAAATTGTCAGGAACTCTCTGACCTTTGTTTCCATTTCTTTAAACATTGCTATCTCCTACCAACTGGCCTGAACTCTCCAAAAAAGTCAATGTCATGAAAAACAAAAACAAAATGTAGGTGGGCTATGGGAGATTAAAGGAGACTAGAGTTATAATTGAATGTAAGTGTGAAACTTGATTGGATCCCGACTGAAAACAAATAAAGGTATAAAATAAATTGTGTGTGTGTGGTGGTGGGGGGGGCGTGGGGGACAAATGAAGAACTTTAAATATGGATGTACTAGGTGATACTGAGTTAATGTTAATTTTCTTAGGTGTCAATGGTGTTATGGTTATGTAGGAGGATGGTCCTTATTCTTGGGAAATGCATGCAGAGGTCTTCTTGATGTCTGGAATTTACTTTCAGATGATTCAGTGAGAATAAAAGTGATTGTGCACCTTGAAGGCGATGGCCATTCTTTTAATTTTTCAAAAGGTTCAAAACCTATGAAAAGCCAGTGTGGGGGGAGCGTCTTGCTCTCTAGCGTGATATGGTTAGGTTAGGATCCAACATTGTGCTGGGAACTTTTTTTTTTTTTACGGTTACAGATTTTTGTGTGTGATAAGAACTTTTAAGATATCTTAGCAGCTTTCAAATATACAACACAGTATTATTAACTATAGTCACCCTGCTGAACATTATATCCTGTCTTATTTTAAAACTGGAAGTTTGTACCTTTTGACCACATTCACCCATTTAGCTGATCCCCCACCCCCACCTCTGGCAAACACTAATTTGCTCTCTGTATCTGTGAATTTTAAAAAAATTATTCCACATATAAGTGAAACCATGTAATACTTCTCTTCGTCTGACGTATTTCACTTAACATAATGCTATCTATTCATGTTGTCACAAATGGCAGGATTTTCTTCTTTTTTAAGGCTGAATAATTTTCCATTGTGTATATAGACCACATTTCTTTACCCATTTTTCCATTGATGTACACTTCCATGTATTGGCTATTGTAAATAATGCTGCAATGGTTTTGTGGGTGCTATCTTTTTGAGTTAGTGCTTTTATTTCCTTCAGATAAATTCCCAGAAGTAGAATTGCCGAATCATATGGTAGTTCTATTTTTAATTTTTTGAGGAAGCTCCATATTGTTTTCCATAGTGACTGCAGCAGTTTACATTGCCCCCCTGGGGTGCACAAGGGTTCCCTTTTCTCCAAATCCTTGCCAACACTTGTTATTTCTTGTCGTTTTGATGACAGCCATCCTCACAGGTGTGAGGTGTGTGCTGGGAACTTTCTAGCAGCTGAGACACTTACTCCAATTGCCCGGAAATAGAAAATCACAATGGGATTCCTTTATGCTCTTTCCCCTTTCTCCCTCTTTGCTCTCTCAATTCCTCCTCGAGGAGAATGCACCTGCAAGAGACTTCTGTCCCTCGGCGCTCCCCGTAGGTGGGAGAGCCCTCATTGGCGGGGGTGCGCTGACGTCTTACTGTGCTGCGACCGCACTGTCCGGAGGAGCGCGGTGCGGGTCCCGAGCTTTGGCGGTGCCCACCCGGGGTTTGGGACCGATGGCCCAGAAACCGCTGCGCCTGTGAGTGGCCCTGAATCGGAAGCCTCTGGGTGTGCGTGTGCGCTCACGTGGCTGCCTGCGGGGGCGGGGGTTCTCCCGACGGGAAGGGGCGATCCAGAGGCGGGGATGGGAGGGAGGCCGGG